TGTGAAAGTTGTGTAATGCTGAAACTTTTAGAACAAAGAAAAACAGCAAAACTTTAAATTTATTTCTGTTATGGCTGGGTTGGGAGGCAGGCTCTCAATTATGAAGAACAAAAAAATAAGAAAACGTGACATGAATCATCAGAGCAGAGAAGAAAAGGCCTGATGACAGGCAGCAAAGTGACTCAGATGACTTCCACAGACACAGAAATGCCTTCAGAGACGAGTGGTTTTTAAGCCGTATCTGAAATCCTCTAAGAGTCCACTGCTGATGGCACCCGCCTCCAATTTGCCCCATCGTCCTTAAAAACACCAGTGCCCACACTCTGTCCTTACATTGGACTGACAATTCGGTGAGAACAACGATATTTTATCCTCCTCAACAGAATAAAGAAGTAGCCTAATGAATGGTGGGTGTTGTATATATAAAGTCTCTGTTCATTCACTGAGTCACATCCTGGCCTCCTGTGTTGTACCCTCCTGCTCTGCATCCTTTCCAGCAGCTTCAAGCCAATCTGAATGCGTATGTATGAAACCAAATGCAGAGTTGGGACGTAAAAATAGTCTCGACACACCCAATACTATTTTCAGAGTACAGCAAGCAAAAGATTCCAAGGAAGACTTTAAAGACACTTTGTTTGCAACTGTGTGATGGAGGGGAAACGACACCGTCGATTATTCTGCATGATTGACACTGAAATTCAAAACATTGTTCTTAAAACAGTGTATTACAATAATCTAATTGCATCTATTAAATTATAAATGAAGATTGTAAACAACAAAATGTTGCAATAGGGTTAACTACATTTGACAAGCTCTATAAATTTCTGGTAGTAAGGCCACACGGACAGTGACAAATCTGGAAGTGAACAAATCCAACAACTTTGGATCTGGAAGTCATCCAGCCTTCTGGAAGTTCCCCTGTACTGACTGAGTTACATAATCAACATTTATTTTAGGATTACTACACTTGAAAACAATCCAGTTTTTCCTATTTACAACATTCACATCAGCGTCCATCTGTTCAGATACAGATTATTATGTATAGATTTCAGTTTCCACTATAAACCTCTAGCAGAAAACTGATGGGTTGAGTAAAGCTGCATTTGGAAAATACAATAATGCTGGTCAATGCTGTGCAACAAAGCAGTTTTAATATCTCTTTTTCTGTTGGGTTTCTTGCATATAATACCCTTAGACAGTAATCTGTCCAGATCCTAAAAAGACAGATCTTTTTCAATAAAACCCCACCATTGAACTAAGAAGTAAAGTAAAACAGCTAGAACGATTAATATTTTCATATTTCCACTTTGTAAGCTGTACCTCTACCATAAACAATCGGATGCCAACATAAAGATTCATCAATTAAAGGGTTCCATGCAGTGAATCCCACCTTCTAACCTATACCATGCTGAAAAGACAAAAAATAAATAAATCGATATTCACTTTCTAAACTGAAAATGGGCGGCAAAGCCCCTTAAGATGTACTGTCATCATTGCATCATCTTAAACCACAGTGAAATTTTACACCAGATCTCAATTTGGGTTTTCTTTGGTGATTGAAAAAGCTCAAAAGTCGGGGGAGGCCGAGCCTTTGAAGCCCAGCCCGACGATGCATAATGCAGAGGCCGTTAGCTGAGAGGACAGCAGGGGTTTGCAGGCTGCAGCCAGGCAGGAGAACTGAATACAGCCACCACACAAATACAGAAAAAAAAAACAAAAAAAACACTCCGATTAAACCCGTTTGGCAGCTGCAATATGTTCAGCAATTTGTGCACACTGCGTTGGCTTTGAAAAGGCGATCTGGCAAGACAAGCGTGTCGCTTTTTATCTTAAGAGATAACAACCAACAATTGTGGAGGAAAGAGTTGAAAAAGGATTCCCAAACAAATAACAGACGGCTGAGAAGGAGACGAGAAGGGTGACAGGCACAGATAATATGAAAGTGAACAAGTAATGTTTAAAAGAGAATGAGAAAGCAGCTGAGGCAGGTTGAGGTAGAATGCACAACAATAAAATGAAAGCGAAGATATTGCAAAGGCTGTCTGGGCAGCACCGTCTTTATTTTAATAAAGCAAAATAAAAGACAAAAGTAATTAAAGAAAAACAGAAAGGAAGAATAAATGAAGCTCAGATGCAGATGATGTGAATCAGTTTGAACATATGAATAGTAATTTAGTTCTGGGTCTGATCCAAGATATTGGCCTGTCTTCATGTCTCATCACAAACGATGGAAGGACAGAGCAAGAGATGGACAGACGGACAGGGGCCACATCTGCAACAACACAAACTCAATTCAAGTCTGTTGTAATAAAGAAAGGGCTGAGATAAGAAGCTAAGCTCTTGATTTACCAGTTTGTCCTGAGATATGGATCAAAACCAAAAGAACAAGATCCCGTAAACAAGCTGAAGTAATCTCCCTCCGTGGGATCGGTCGGCCTCACACTGATGACACTGCAGCTCTGTTCTCCGGTGGGAACTCTGAGCCGATCCAACCCTCTGCCCCTTGAAATGTCTTGATCAGTACGTATTTGAAGGTTTTCTGGAAACACCCCACTGGGACAACATTCTGGGGCAGATCCACAACTTGCTAGACGGGCTGTAAATCCCCTCCCTTGGCCTGGAATCACCTGGGATCCCACAGAGTGAATACAGAGTTGTAAGTCTGTATTCCTGGACCGAATGAAGAGACAGATGGACCGATACCATCCATATTAAATCTGCCTAAATCTAAGCAATGCATCCAAAGCAACCAGCTGAATATTTGGTTACCAGGGTAACCCGAGCAATCTGAAAACGCAGTGAGGAATCTCCATATGGAAAGGGGTCTCTACTACGGCCAGTCGTGAAAGCTCCAGCACCACCACATCTGTCAGTGACAGACCAATCACAATCTTGGCACATGTGGCGCCATTCAGCTCCGCTGGCATTTTACTACCTGGCTAACTGTTCACTAACACGGCTGTTGAGGTTAGAGATGGAAAGTGCTGCGATGCCAATAATGGGTTTTTTTTCTCCTCTCACAGTTATTGAGAAGAGCATAAATTATGTTCAATCTGCCTTTTTTTGTAAGAAAATTTATTTTTTGAAATCATACTACTCCTACATATCTTCATTATCTTTTGAGAGACGCAGTAAGTATTTTCATTAAAGTATCTCTTGTGAAATCAAGAATTGCAACAACAGCAAAACAAACAAAAAAAAACTGAATAAAACAATTCATAGAAACGGAAGATGGAAAAACAAAAATATTTGTTGTGATGGACACGAGAGCCTTCATTGAAAATAAAATATTTTTATGTTGTAGAGGAAAAAATGATGATAAACAGAGGTCAGCGAACAACAAAGAGGGACGAAAGAGCGGGAGGAAGTGTTGGTGGAAAAAGTGAGTGGGCAGCTGGGATGGAGATTGCTTTTCTTTCTGTTTTCTGGCCATAAGGGTTAATGTTCGAGCCCTGCAGGAAACATAGACATAAGATTCGTGACAGCAGAGCTGGCAAAACTAAACTCTGAACGGTTCAGCTGCTGCAAACAACACTGCTACCAAAAACCGCCATGGGCTGTACACAGAAATGTGCAAAAATAATGGATGCTAATTTGCTCTCAGGTATAATGTTTACCAACTCAACTCATGTACTATTACTTACAACAAAAATACCCCCCCTCCCCGCTGTGACAAGCGGGTAAAAACCGCAGCATAATTGATTGCTTTGTCAACACTTTATGTAAGGTGTGTTGGCGAAATCGGCTCTTTGTCGTGATGCTGCAGAGCTCTGAATCCTCGGGCTGGAAACGGGAACAGCTTTCTCACCCTCCCACTCCTCCTCCTCCTCCCGGGCTCCTACCACCATTTACTGCTGACCTCTGGGATCAACCAAACCCGAGCTCACATTTCTTTAGCGGCTCCATCTCTGGAGTCGTTCTTCCTCCACCTCCTCTTACCTTATGCATTTTCTTCTAAGCCACGTGGTTCTATTTCTAGCAGCTCCACAGCTTTGCAGCAACACACCCAACAAGACGATGTGTGTTTTGATACTGAAGCTTTATGAATCAAATCAAATCAAATCAAGCCTTGTCAAATTGAACTAATGACAGATTTTGAGGCAGTATTATTAGTGGAAAAAATATTAGTAAGACAATGTATTTTCATCCTACTTAATGCAACACAATATTCAATGCATTAGGTCCATAACACTTCTTATTTTGTAAGTATTATGTAGTAAGCCACAATCACAACAACTGCATGGTGTTTATGAATAAAGCTGACTTGAGAAATATAGCAGGAAGCATTAAAAGTTGGCACTTTTAGACATAATACTCACATAGTATGATTAACAATTTAACAAATTTCTAAAATATTTGACTTTTTATTGAATTAGATGCACCGTAGTGCTGTGTTGTGAACCACATAAAGCACAATTTTATAAAGTATCCTTAGAACCACTGCCTAAGCATAGCAGTAAAGCCGTAGGTAAGTAACAAACTCACACCTTTATAAATTGAATTCCAAAAAGTGAAATAATTAGAAAATGAAATAATTGAATGGGGGAAACAAAAAAATATCACCTGGTATCAACTTAAATATGTAAACACATTTCTGTGTTGTTGTTTTGTTGGAAAAACATGCAAGGGAAGCATAAAAGATAAGAGAAATGTCCTTTGTCTGGAATAAAAAAAAAGTAGCCTGCCAATGATCTCAAAACTATATAAAACATATAAATCGGGTTCACATTTCTAAAAGATGGCGGACAGAATTAAACCTCCAAGGGAGGAGCAATTCATCAAGAAAAAAGACAACTCAGGCAAAAGTAGTGGAGACATGTAGATGATATGAGACAAAAAATGCATCTGATAGTTATTGTGCTTCATTTCACCATCAATGAAACATGGTTTCATCCAGCCGGATATGGATGGCGAGCAACAGAATCCATTAATGTATGGTGTGTGTGGTATATATATATATATATATATGGCAGTATAATAAGGAGGCTTTCTCCACTCACCCTGGGCTGCCAGTTTTCGTACTGCTTCTGCAAGTTTGCCCCAATGGTCTCCAGGGCTTTTTGTGGACTCATTGACAGAGGATCTGACGAGAAAAACAAACACGGTGAAACCACACAGCCACCTCTGACTCGCACCCACACAGGCCAGCTGCACAAAACCGTCACACCTTGACAAAAAAAAAAAAAAAAGACTAGAAAAATCGAGGTTGACAAGTCAGACATAATTACAGCTTCCACATTCAGGCTGTGAGTGCGAGGGAAATACAGTTTTGGCATTAAAAATGTAGAACAAAATTGAGGGAATTTATTAAATATCAGGATATCGCAACATATGGCACTGAGAAAAAGAATAAATGTTAAACATCCGTTCAACTGTTTTCAGTAAGTGGAAAATCATCCGTTAGTAAGCCTGTGTGAATCACAAATATGCTTAAGAGATATGACAGATTAATTTGTTTTTGCTGTTGTGTCACACTCCTATTTTCAGATAATCGATTAAACATTTCACAGTGCTCTCTGAACCCTGCTTTAAACCGCCTGCCGTGTTTCTTGGTCTCCATGAGGCTGGAGTTAAACTGAGATTACGCTACAAACACCGTTTTTACTAATTAGATACCTGTGGAAGGTAGTTGGCTGTGCTGGATTTTATTTAGGAGTATGGGAGTAGAAGTGGTGAATACAAACAAATTAAAAACTAGAATAATTTTCTTTTCATTTCAAACTGATAGTTTGTGTTGGTGTATCTCAGAAAATGCATTGAAATTTCCCGTAGTGAATGTTGTAAAGTGGAAATAAGTTCAGAGGATTTGTACATTTTTGCTTTGCACTGCTCGTGTTACTTGTAGACATATATGTATTTTAGACGTATATTTTGTATAAATTATTACAAAATAATTTATAGTTATAGATGTATAGAACCTAGCAATTGATATTAGGGTCTTTGAAAACTGTACTGTACTTCAAAAACCACCACTAGGATTATGTGATGTTTTCTGAAGCAGTTTTCACAAAAACATGTTTACATTAAAACATTTCAAAGTTTGTTTATTCAAATACCGCTCCTTCACATGGGAAGAGTCGAAGACTGCAGAGCATTTTAGAGGACAGCAGTTGCTCTTACCATCTAATATTAGTAAACACTTTCTTACAAACTACAGCAATAAATAGGAAAACTATCCTTGCAGAGAAAGTTTGTCTAACTTAGGGAGCAGAGCTTCTGCTTCGATCTCACTCAATCTCAGGAGAGAAAAAACAAAGGTTGAACATTTCCAGTTAGGAGAAATGAGGGATCTGGTGATTTGCTTTGTCTGATTATTTTTCCAGGGTTTTTTTTATAACATTCTGGGTATTTGAATAAAAATATTAACCTTGAATTTCACAGAATAGTAATAGGGTCTAGTCATCTGTGGGGTTCACAAGATTGAAACAACCCAATGCTTAAACTGGCTTTTCAGACGATGATTTCAAGATGGCATTTGGACTAACTTATATCACCTTTATTTTAAAATCTAAAAGCCTTTAGAAGAATCTATTTTGCTAATGAAAACTCAGAAAAATAGCAGGTTTATTGTTTTGTTTGGCGCTTAAAACACTGTTTAGAAATCACCGTCCCAGTTCATCATGAATTTAAATTTGTTAAAAGTTCAGATTTTTCAATGAGTCTGCAGTCAGATTACAAGATTTAAAATACTGAAACTCAATAAGTGACTTGGCACATTAAAGAGTTAGTCAATGTGAAAACCACTGCCTTTATTTAGTGCGATTAAACTTTCATCCTTTCTTAAATGCATATACTCTCATCCTTTCCTAAAAAGGTAACAGGTAAAAAGCCTTTAAGTCAAACAGCTTTCACATACGAAAATCATAAATGCATGTTTAATCCTTTCCTATACTTTTCAAGACTGCAGAGGCTCATGAATGACCATGGTTCATTTGAGAAACGGCCTAAGCTGAGGATTGAACCATCAAACCTTTCAGCACAGCACAGCCACTGCACCTCATGGGACAATTTAGGATACAGCTTCTGTTTCTTTCTGGTATTATTTTCAAAAATATCCTTAAGATTAAAATATTACGAGATACAGGACAGATTTAGAAGTGATAAAGTGCTAGATCTCCACTCATGCCAATAGAGATCTAGCATTTTTCCCAGCATCGGTGAATAAGACGTCCCTGGATGTGAATAATCTGACAAGCTGCTAAATGTCACTTCTTGTTGACATTTAACAGTTTTCAACGTGATCAACTAGCCGTAAAATGTAGAGCATTAAACTCTTCAGAGTCATTTAATAATTTGATTATTTTGTATGTCATTTGATTTAGGCTTGCAAAGATAATGCCCCATTTCTCACCGTTTAGATTTACCTTCACCTGACTCAAATTTGAATTTCTGTTAAGAGCACCTCAATCTTTATTGAAAAGTAGATTTTTTATTTATTTATATGTTTGTTATTAGGAAGGATATACTCACCTATCCAACACTCCAGCCTGGCACAGGGGGATGTCTTGACCACATCAGGGGGGTCCACTCCCACATTGAGACACAGAACCAGAGCAACACTCACTGTCTTCATCTGTAGGGACACACACACACACACACACACACACACACACACACAAAAAGCATGTAATCCTGTCAAAAATTGGATCGTTTTCAAAAGCCCCACTTTTCTTTTAAGAAATAAACTCTCCTAAGAAACCACGTCTGTAACTAAATTTGTCTAGAATACCTTTGCACCAAACTTTTAATATGTCTTTTATCTGCTTTAACTTTTGAAATACAGACTGAACAGAACCTATAAATATCAAAACAGAAAAGTATAACGCATATTTACTGGCAGCACCACATACGCCAACACTAACGCAGGAAGTGAGTAAAGACGTAAACCTGAAAAAGAAATAAAGTAAACATTGATTTGTGGGTTATGTTGCCAATCCTGACACACATCACCAGCCCCTGGCAGGCAGCTTAGGTTCCCTGCTGCGCAAATTAAATATTGAACTAGCAGGGAGCCATTACCACCTGAAACACTTTCCGTTGTGTCATGACAGACGTCAAGCTTTTTGACGTTGTGTGGATTCATCCTGAAGCTCCTAATGAGCCTGAATCAGGTCACCTACCTAAAGAGCTGAACTTGCACTCACCTGTATGAACAGATGTGAAAGAACTGCATTTATAGAAAAAGACTTTTAAAAACAGAAATGAAAATATGTTTCTTTTGCAATGCTCACTAATTGCTTGTCTGAATGCAGTATAATTTTTCCTTTGCTGTCTAGTGCTTTAAGGCATCAATATTTCAGTCAAGTTCTTATTTTTCAGGACACACCAAACACTTTTTATGAAAATCCTGGTTCAATACTGATTGTATATTTACTGAAACTGATTTATAGTCCACACAATATTGTTTATTTGATAATAAATGTTGCCAAGTCAGATGTGAGTTCATGAGGGTTTTATCAAAGTTAATCAGGAAAGATAATATTTGTTCTCATCTTTTCTGTTATGACTGTATACTTATCAGGGACTTGTGTTTAACTGTCTCCCTTAACAGGGCTACCACCTGCTATGAACTTTGGGTGCTCCCAGTTTTTCTGCATCATTGCTTCTGTATTGATAAGTGTCTCTTTCTTGGACGGTACCACTGACAGAACTATTGTTGCCGTTAGCTACATGTCCCCTCTTTGTCATACAAAGTGTTTCTTCATTTAGCCGTTTCTCAATCCTGGTTGTCACCATTCACAGAGCTTATGGTGGAAATAGCCATGTTTACGCTCTTTGTTTTCCTTGCCAGTAGAAAGTACTCCTAGCTCAGTGCAGCTGTTTGTTTTTACAGGGACATGCAAGGGCTATTGCTACTTTGACTAAATATGCTCAACGCTTCTCTGTTGAGCTGTGTTTCTCTCCTGGACGGAAGTTATTGCTGCCTTTCAGTTTGTGTATTCTCTATTTTCTTTTTATTGAAAACAGAACATAATTAGAAAGAACGATGCGTTTGGTGACCACTATCATTGCAACATTCCCGATCGTTTTCTGGTACCATTACTAGCTAATAACTTAAAGATGACTTTGATATGTAGGTCATAACAGCACAGCCAGGCGACCTTTTACAAACACCGTATTGTAGACCCACTGAGCATGTGCTGCATGTCTGCTGTGGGTTATGTGCAACCTTCTGGCTGAGCAGGTTCTGGAGGCCTGTTATTGTGAAACTAATTAAGCCCCCCTGTGTCTTCCCACCAAATGACTAAAAGGTCAGTATGCCAGTGGGACTCAGTGGGGATACACTTGACATGTACATGCAGCCTTATACACAAAGGCACAGTAGATTACATCACTTCATTCATTTAAGCTTGATTTTTTTTTTCACGCCATGCCCTTTTCTTCCCTGCACAGTGAATGTCAAGACCTATCCTCATGAATGTAAAGTTCTTTGACAGTTTTCAAGTCCAACGTTTGAAACAAAGGAAACAGCTGTGCTACACAACTAAAAAGTGATGCACAAATGCCTCTGCAGTTGCATCTTACTATATAAAAGTTGGTGCAAGTGTGCGCTAGCAGTAAAGTTATAAAAATGGAAAACTTTGCTTGGCAGCCTTTAACATAAAACCTGAGAAAGTTGAAAAATGTACATCTTTAGGGTAAAATAATTTTTATCATTTTTACAGTTTAAAAGAAATATAGCCTCTTAGCTCGACAATAAATTGTCCCAGAAATTATTGCGATAGACGATAACGTTGTTTTGGGACCATTTTCAACTAATATAATTATGGCATAATAATACAAGTACATCCTCTTAAATATCAATAAAACTATAATTTCTACAGACCAAGTAGAGCTGGAACTGGAAGACATTTTAAATGTCCAATAGCACTAACGACATAACCAAAAGTAATAAGTGAAACTGAAACAAACCCCCCCCAAACACAACCAAAATAATAAATTAAATGCATTATGAAGTATCTGTGAACAAAATTGCTCCTCAAAAATATTAATCACTGATCTCATCCTTCAGCTAAAAGAAACAAGAAGAGAAGGGGTCAGTCGAGATGTACTAGAGTGAAGCCTTTTGTCATCCACTCTGGTCGAAATACAGACAGGAGGAAAACAAACATGCATGCAAATTGAAATTATTGAGTTCATTCTAATTTATCGTGCAATTAATTGATATATTGCTTATTTTGACAGGCTTACTCTTTGATAAGGAAAAAGGTTTGCTGGGCCTCGCCAATTACTCCAAGTCCCATTTTATCTGTCACCAGTATAAAGTGAAAATATGCCTGATTTATATAGTGGCAGTTCTTGCCATTTGCAAACAGAAAGTAGAAAGAAGAACTCAAAACCCAGATGTCTCTGTGTTTATTGTAAACAATAAAAAAAGTTTGTTTTTGTTTTTTTAAATTAAAGCGTTACATGCCAAAAAATGGTCCATAATTTTGTTTTATGCACTCTACAAGCTTGCACTGTCAGAGAAAAGATGTGGTTTAACAAGAAAGAAAAACATGAGATTTGCCCTTTAAAATACACCATCTGAAAATGGCAGGACAGTTTGGAGAAATATGATCTGGAAGGCCAGAGGGAAAAGAGAGATGTTTCTGTCATTCCAGGTAAAATGTCAAAGCAAACTGCTTGGAAAATTGTAAGGTCATTTCCCTTTTTACGTTAATCTGAGCCAGCAAATGCCAGGAAAACCTGATAACTCACCAAACATCAGTCACATCACTGAAGGCCCAGCACCACAACAATGTTAATTATGATTACGATTAAGTGGCTCACTACAGGAAGATAGTCAAAATCCTATTAAAACAGCCCTGATTACATTATTTATTTTGATCCTACATCTGACAGAGGTAATTTACAAAACATTTGATTCTCATTTACACTCAGATACACCAGATAAATGTGGGATTTTTCACAATCCAACGTGGCATTTGAGTATGACAGCACACAGATGTGCTCCACATTATTCTCATTGATTTATACGCTTGTTTGTTTTGAACCGTAATACAGACACACGCACACAAAAACAACACAAACAGGAGGGCCGTCGTCAGCCTTCATAGCTTATATTAATAAAACAGTTTGTGCCCCGAGAGAAGCTGTCAGATTTAAATCGTTGCTGATTTAGTGGGGTGAAGTGGCCGTGAGCATAAAATTGACTTAAATCAATAACAAATCTGAGTGTGAGCGGTGAAATAATGAAGAAAGGTAATCTCATCCTTAAACTTTATGCGTTTGTAAGAATTAGGTCTGCTGTGGCAATACAAGATCTCCAGAGCTACATTTATCTTTTTGTAAATGAGCAACAAATGCTGAATTAAAATATATGGCAGCTAACAATACAAATATAGCACATTTGACGTGATGACATCTAGCAGGTATATTTCAAAAATATACCTGCTGTTCCTCCAAATCTACAAGTCATATAATCAATGTCACGGTACAATATATGCGCCTGCTTTATGGTTATGACATCAGAATCTACCTCAAGATAAAGAAAATGTTAATGAAGTCATGTTTGGTTTTCGCCGATGACTTTTTCTTTTTCTTCCCACTTGTTCTTAAGATGTTTTATCTTCTTCAAAAACAGTTGGGACCAAATGGGCCGACTAAAAGCCTAACTCCTCTCGAGGGCGTCTGAATCTGCCTGACCCTCTCTTTTCACTTTGTGCTCACAACATGTTTTCATTTGGTTGGAACTCCCACTGGTTTCAGGTCCTGCATTAAAATATGGACTGCATTATAGTGCCACAGTGCCTATGGAAAACCCAAGGCACTGTTTTCTATGCGTAAACTCCACTCGACAAAGCATTAATAAATTACACAATGTCTTCTATCAGTGTTATGCAGGTGAGAATCAGCTGTACTAGACCTTCATAACTACTAATGATGGTAATCTTAGTGACTGATATGTGAAAGTATGCGTGGTAGAAAATATGGGTCAGTTGGGATCAATACCCTCAACACAGTATTATATCAACATCCCAATTTCAAGTATTACTAATATTGTGCAGCCATACTTTCAAAACTGATCACATTCATCTAACATACCTATACTGGTTAGCACGTACGGTTTTGCTATTGTCTGCTTAAAGTTTAATCAATCCAAGTGCTTCAAATTTTAAACTAGAAATTACAAATTATCAAATCTGTGATATGGAAAGTTTAGCTCAGCCAAAATAGGAGGCGACCAAACAAAGGACAATCTTGTTAGCAAGCTGCAGATTAAATCACTCTTATCTTGTTCTTGATTAACCTGCCTGCATATAAGCAAAATGGTGCCACAATGGTGTGCTGTGTGCTCCCTCTGTGCTTTTATTACCAACTTTTGTCACCCAACCTGAGGAGCAGGAAACCTTCCCTAAAATGTATGCAGAGGCTCATCTGCTGGGATTTAACCACCACTTGACCCAGAACAAGATTGTGGCTTATTTAATGGCCTGATCATTTCAGTCTTGAATGGCTGAAACAAGAAAACTAGATTATAAATGAGAAAATGCAACAAGATGCAGAGAACAAAAAAAAACAAAAAACAAAAAAAAACAGTGAAAACTCTTCTAGCAGCTGCATTTTTGTGTGTGTATGCATCTGAGTC